AGGTGACAAAGAGCTCATCGTAAACGGTTACGTTGATGCAAGTTTTGACACTGATCTGGACGATTCTAAATCGCAAACCGAATACGTGTTTACATTGAATGGTGGAGCTGTCAGTTGGTGCAGTTCTAAACAAAGCGTTGTGGCGGGATCTACACATGAAGCGGAGTACATAGCTGCTTCGGAAGCAGCAAATGAAGGAGTCTGGATGAAGGAGTTCATATCCGATCTAGGTGTCATACCTAGTGCATCGGGTCCAATGAAAATCTTTTGTGACAATACAGGTGCAATTGCCTTGGCGAAGGAATCCAGATTTCACAAGAGAACCAAACACATCAAGAGACGCTTCAATTCCATCCGAGATTTAGTCCAGGTGGGAGACATAGAAATTTGCAAGATACATACAGATCTGAATGATGTAGACCCGTTGACTAAGCCTCTTCCACGAGCAAAACATGATCAACACCAAGGCTCCATGGGTGTTAGAATCATTACTGTGTAATCTAGATTATTGACTCTAGTGCAAGTGGGAGACTGAAGGAAATATGCCCTAGAGGCAATAATAAAGTTATTATTTATTTCCTTATATCATGATAAATATTTATTATTCATGCTAGAATTGTATTAACTGGAAACATAATACATGTGTGAATACATAGACAAACATATTATCACTAGTATGCCTCTACTTGACTAGCCCGTTGATCAAAGATGGTTATGTTTCCTGACCATAGACATGAGTTGTCATTTGATTAACGGGGTCACATCATTAGGAGAATGATGTGATTGACATGACCCATTCCATTAGCTTAGCACCCGATCGTTTAGTATGGTGCTATTGCTTTCTTCATGACTTATACATGTTCCTATGACTATGAGATTATGCAACTCCCATTTACTGGAGGAACACTGTGTGTGCTACCAAACGTCACAACGTAACTGGGTGATTATAAAGGTGCTCTACAGGTGTCTCCAAAGGTACTTGTTGGGTTGGCGTATTTCAAGATTAGGATTTGTCACTCCGATTGTCAGAGAGGTATCTCTGGGCCCTCTCGGTAATGCACATCACTTAAGCCTTGGAAGCATTGCAACTAATGAGTTAGTTGCGGGATAATGTATTACAGAACGAGTAAAGAGACTTGCCGATAACGAGATTGAACTAGGTATTGAGATACTGACGATCGAGTCTCGGGCAAGTAACATACCGATGACAAAGGGAACAACGTATGTTGTTGTGCGGTTTGACAGATAAAGATCTTCGTAGAATATGTGGGAGCCAATATGAGCATCCAGGTTCTGCTATTGGTTATTGACCGGAGACGTGTCTCGGTCATGTCTACATAGTTCTCGAACTCGTAGGGTCCGCACGCTTAATGTTACGATGACAGTTATATTATGAGTTATATGTTTTGATGTACCGAAGATTGTTCGGAGTCCCGGATGTGATCAAGGACATGACGAGGAGTCTCGAAATGGTCGAGACATGAAGGTTGATATATTGGAAGCCTATGTTTGGTTGTCGGAAGTGTTCCGGGTGAAATCGGGATTTTACCGGAGTACCGGGAGGTTACCGGAACCCCCCGGGGGCTTAATGGGCCTACATGGGCCTTAGTGGAAATAGAGGGAAGCAAGGGGAGTGTGGGGCGCCCCCCCAAGGCCCAAACTGAATTGGTTTAGGGCAAGGGGGGTCGCCCCCCTCTTTCCTTCTTCCCCTCTCTCTTTCCTTCTCCCGAATCCTATTCCAACTAGGAAAGGGGTGGGAGTAGGACTCCTCCTGGCACGCCCTCTCCCTGGCCAGCCGCACCCCCCTTGCTCCTTTATATACGGGGGCAGGGGGCACCCCATGGACACAACAATTGATCAGGTTGATCTTTTAGCCGTGTGCGGTGCCCCCCTCCACCATAGTCCACCTCGATAATATTGTAGCGGTGCTTAGGCGAAGCTCTGCGTCGGTAGAACATCAACATCGTCACCACGCCGTTGTGCTGACGAAACTCTCCCTCAACACTCGGCTGGATCGGAGTTCGAGGGACGTCATCGGGCCGAACGTGTGCTGAACTCGGAGGTGCCGTATGTTCGGTACTTGATCGGTCGGATCATGAAGACGTACGACTACATCAACCGCGTTGTGCAAATGATTCCGCTTTCGGTCTACGAAGGTACGTGGACAACACTCTCCCCTCTCATTGCTATGCATCACCATGATCCTGCGTGTGCGTAGGATTTTTTTGGAAATTACTACGTTCCCCAACACCTGAAACATGTGATCACCAATCACGCCTTCTCCCAAAATTTGCACGCCACCACATCCATTTGACTCAGATCCAACATGATGAATTGATTCTGCTCGGCCATTCATTCCATTGTCATCCGATCCTCCAGAACTTTGAGCTTACACGCCTCCACGTCCATATGAATTTCAAGTATATGCGCCTTGATCTCTTTCGGACGCCATATTATCTCTTGCATAGCATCCCATCTCGCCTTCTTCTCTTTGTTCTTCTTTTTCTATGTCTCTAGTTTTTATTGCTTTCTCTTTTTGGCTAAGTTGTTTCTTGTTCGCATCACTCGTCGATATGTTTCTTCATTGCCACCACCTATCCTTCTCTCTTGAGCTCCTCCTTTCCTCTCTTCCTCCCATCGGGCCGACCACTCTAGACGCCGGAGTGGGAGTTTTGGGCATCCTTTACGATTCCTCTCTAGGACCATCGCCATCTTCATCATCGTCCATATCCAGAGAGGAATTTCTGCATTTCCCAATTTCTAGGCTATCGTCTTCATTTTTCGACTTCCACTTCTTGTGGCCTTCTGACAAATTCCAACAATGTGCAGGCCAAACGATTTTCCTTTCGACTTGGACATTTGTCTGGACCTCTCTTGGGGTATGTTATACAAAAACAAACGAATGCTCAAATTGATGAGAATGCTCAAAGTAATGAAAATGTGGCAGCAAATAACAACAAGGTTGCTTATTGGTCGATGATTCAACCGGTAGGAGGAGTGTGCTTCACTTTCTCCAAGCAAACCGACCAACGGTTACCAATCTCTTGAGTCTTACCTCATCGGTTTGTGAGAGGTTTGAGGGGAAGATCTATTCTTGATGCGCTTCCAATGTTTTGCGATCGATAGATCTTTCCCAGCGACCATGTTGAGAGAGATATCTTCCCATGCATGATAAGCACAATATCCTCATCGCCTTAATGTTGCTTCCCCGAGCTGTCATCTTCTTCGATGAGCCAAAGATCTCTCAAGATTTGGCCTTTGGATTAGAGAAGTAGCAGTGGAAAGCAAAGAGGAAGATTAGATCTCAAAGAGGTGGCTTGATGGTTGGAGTAGAAAGCGCTTTGAAATCAGGACAACGAGTGGAATTCTCTATCACAACATAGGATATGAGTGGAGTTTGCTTTGACTGAACATGTGGGTTAGGTGGGGATCTTACCTTGGAGACTCTGACATGCACAAAAACTGGTAACTTTCAGATAGCTCGGTCAATCTAATTGGACTTCGAGGCAAATACCTTGGCAGTGGCACACTCTCCGTAGCCTCTTCCGAAATTTCGAGCGAGGGGTGTTAGGAAATTCTAAGCGGATAACAGAAGGTTTTCCAATGTGTTGGTTGTTTCGAGTGGAATGGTTAGTAGCTCCAAAATGCTAGGGTTTGCAACTTCTATATCTGGATGAACTACTAGCGGTTCTAACTAGAAGAGCATGGCAGCTCAGAATGTATGAAAGTTAGGTTGATATAGTAGATATAGTTGAGCCATATGCATCTTTCTGATGGAGAGGCTGGGGTAAACCCCCTTTTCGAAAAAAAGTTGAGAAGTTAAAGGCTCTTCAGGAAATTTAGAGTCCGGTCTTCAAAAACATAGAGAAGAAAACTCATCATAACTTTCGCATCCCCTTTTGATAGTATTGATATGTCTATGAACCCAATGTTATCTTGGATCACTAAAATGAAAATGGAGAATCTAGATTTGGCCAACACTTGTCTTCATGGTAATTTGTGTGTGTGTGTGTGTGGGAGGGGGGGGGGGTCACCTTTCATTTCCTTTGTTTCACCCACTAGGAACTTCCTTGAGATAAGCCTGATAAAACGTTAGTTCATTTAGATATGTTGATATTGATTACCAAAACCCACAAAGGGGATTAGGTTCACTTTGAGTGATGTGCTGGCCTAGGCGGTGGCGGCCGGCCGGCGGAGGCATAGGAGGCACACAAGTCGCGGGATCTGACTCCAAACCAACAAAATCAGATGAGTTGGTCGACAGGCCATCAGCAGAGGCTGGGGACGGCCAAAATCGGTCAAAGGCGGCGGTATTGTGAGGGAGGGGAGGCGGCCAAAATTGCTATGATGGCCGTCAGTATGTTGACTGCGCCGATATGGCGGCTCTGCTAGCGTTCCTCTTAGTACACTTCTCATACATTTGTGTTCCTTCGGAATAAAGGGGCAGCTTCTAGCTACTCCCTCCATTCCAAAATATAGTGTGTCCACGCTTCCCGAGGTTTAACTTTGACCATAAATTTAACCAACGAGACTGACTGTGGCGAAAGAAAAAATTATATAATTGAAAACTTCTTTTGAATGCGAATTCACTAGTATAACTTTTGTTCCCGCCGCAGTCAGTCTTATTGGTTAAATTTATGGTCAAAGTTAAAGCACAGGAATAGAGGAAACACTATATTTTGGAACGGATGGAGTAATATTCCACATAGAAGACCGGACGGACACAACATGAAAAGCTAATTAATTATAATTACATTTAGCGTGAGAAGATAGGCAACTAACCATATGGCCGCAGGCCTGTTCCACTCCAAAGGTTATTAAGCGCAAGTCAGTTATACATCTCAGAAAGACATTTCTTGTACTTGTGCTGTCATACTGCTAGCACTACCACACTAGAGCGTGTACATAAATCCATGCAATTATTCAGGTTTAGGTAGTTATTTGGACGCAACAAAGTGACCTTGCTAGCGAAAAACAAGTTTCACAGAATAACTTGCTAGCTAAGTACCACCTCCCGAGTGATGACGAAAAAGTGACTTGATCTCCATCTCCATCTCCCACTCCTTCGGCGAGAGCAACGGCAGCGAGGAATAAGAAGCCAACTCCTCATACGTGTAGCTAGGCACGGTCACCGACATGCCTGCGTCTTCCTCTTTCTTCAACCTCGAGAGACCAACAGCTGAAGAGAGCGATGCTTTGGTGAAGTCCAGCACTTGTGAGTTAACAGTAGCACTGTTTGAGCTGCTGGGTGGTTGATCATTAGCAGGGAACAGACTGCTGCATGTGTGGTCGTTGATCAGGGTGACCATGAACACAGGAGGGTCGATGTTGTTTTGCTGCTGCACAAGTTTCTTTGCCGGGCACCTGTGCTCGTCGCTGTATCCGCATCTGTAGTATGACCTGCAAACAATTAACCAAGTGTATGGTCACATATAACACTTTTTTATGTTCTTTGTTTTTGCTAGAACAAAATGGATTACGTTTTTTTTGAGAAAACACATAATAAGTTGTGTTAAATTCCACAAAGTTTCCTGTATATATATCACACGGATCGCAAACGCACTTTTAAGTTTAGAAATATGCAAGATCTTTACCTTGTTGATATGACACAATGCTAACGTCAACCTAAGTGAGTAACAAATAAAAATTAATTCTGGTAAAATTTCATGTTTTCCCACAAAATAAAAATATCATATATACTTCTGAGTAGATCACCTCCATTGTCATATACTAGTCCCCTGGAGTTTGTATGATCATGAGCGAAGTGGTTTATTCCATAAGCAATCTTCATCATAAAACTCAATGATTGATATTCATATTCAGGCTTACCTTTTTACGCCATCCAAATATATGCAGATAAACAAGCGTAAACATGTGCATGATTGACTTGTGTACAACCAGGAGAATGGTTTTATGTTCCACACACATGCAAAGAAATGAATATATACATAATATAAATTTTCCATTAAGAGTGCAACCTCAAATATAGTGCTATCACATACACATACTAATCTGTTTACGTACTTCAACTTTGATTGAAAAAGAATATTGGAAGCGTAAGATACTCTCCAGTCTCCACAAGATGTGTCTTCTCGGCTTTCTTACGACCAAGGACAATGTAGATATATGGAAGGTCCATATATGTGATATGCCGCAAATGTGCCCCATACCAACCATACTATTTTGGAGCAACTCATTAATGTGAGGTGAGTATCCATGCCAAGCCACATAATGCTTAATTTAGCATCAAAGTACTTTGGTGTTTTCATTCTAATAACCATAGTTAAATATAATGCACAATTGAAGTACTATGATTCTTGCTTTGTGTAATGCCTTTTTAGATAATGAAAGATAAAACTCCCCTGGACTCTAGATTCAACGATGCATGCAACCCAAAATTAGTTCAGAGTCTGCTATGTAATAGGTGGAAAGGTGGTGAGAAGCTACAACGAGACCAATAGGAAAAGGTGTATCTACTGCTAACGACAAAGGTACTGTTTACATTCTTTTCTTCGAAAATCTGTTTGATTTTTTTCTGTTTAATCCATAGGAGAAAATGCAAGTATTTGATATCCATAAGTTAATGCCAAATTAATGGATACTTAGAGAGAGCTTCTTGAGCCTTAAGGGATGAAAGTGAAACTCCGTCAAATTAAAGAATCATACCTTGGGAAAACAGCATTCAGGATCTTCTTCTCGCCATATTTCCTCCAGTGGAACCCATCATTTTCTGGTGTCTCAGTTAGTATCCTCCCTTTGCTGAAGAAATAAAATTAATTGAACTTAACTTTACTACACACGTCCCTAGCTAAGCTAACCATGAAATATAAATCACGGCATGCAAAGAAACAAACATATGCTACAGCTCGATGCCTCAAAGGATGAACCGGAATAAACGCAAGATCTACCGACAAATTAACATTTCTTGCCTTCAATTCCTTGTATTAGCATCTCTTTCCTTCATATCGCTTTGAACGTTAGATATAGAATACCAGGGTTGCCAAACCAATCCATGCATGGTTTCCGTTTTTTGCACAGGGTTAAAGATGATATGGAGCAGGAAGTTAAAGAACAACCGGACCAGCAAAAAAAAGAACAACCGGACTAGCAACACTGCAGGCATGGGGTAATCGGGTATTGGGGTTAGATCCTCACTGAATCCCAAACACAAGTGTGTAGTAACATGGATCTGCCAGTAACGATTCCTCCCTAGCACAGATCCCCACAGATACGCCTATGCTACAGTAGTATTCCTTGAAGCAAACACAAAGTCACTCACATTGGAAGCTCCTCGCCATGGGGGCCTCGCCGGTGCTTTGCCTTCCTGGTGCGGGCAATGGCTCCATTTCGCGCCCCAATGCCACCGCCATTACCGGAGGCGCCGGCAGCATAGGCTGCCGCCCCGGGGTCGGGGGAGGAGCAGCCGTACTGCTCTCTGTTGGACTCCAGCATAGAGGCGGACGACACTAGGGCCGTGGAGATGTTGCTCACGCTGGCCAGCGCGGCGCTGCGGCGACCGAGCTCCGGGATGAGCTCCAGTTGTTGCCGGAGGCGGTCAGCCAGCTGAGCGCCCTTCCTCAGCTCCTCGATGACAGCGCCCCTCTGGTCGGAGGGCGGCGGGGACATGTCGGACTTGGGCCGCATCGCCATGAGGTGAGGGGATATTGCTCTATTCTACTGTCTTCACGGGGCGGATGTGAGTGAACTCTGTGGATTTGGATTAGGTGTTGGATTCTTAATTGGAGGAAATGGCCTAGCTGAGAGACATGAGCTGTTAAGTGTCTGTACATATATAAAAGAAATACTGTACTACTAGTATTAACCAAAAAGAGTATCTAATTATTGCGTGTTTAGGTGCAAAAGAGAAATGTCTAATCTGTGTGAACCTCAAGTAATGCCTAGCTTGATGTGTAATTGAACGTGTATTGGAGAATGAGTAGCTAGGTGAAACGCAATGACCAAAAGAGAACACTAGAGTTTAGTAAAAACCATAGTTTTAAATAGCTGGCTATAGCCCCGCTATAGTTCCACTACAGCTGTTTGAGGTGTTGCCGCTAAATGATTTCATGTACAGTTTACCGCTATAGCCCCGTTATAGCTGTTTTTAAGGGTCGCCGCTAAATGTCATAGCCCACTATTTAAAACATTGTAAAAACATAAATCCAACTAAAGTTATCTGTACGGAATATTGTCACTTTACCCGTCTGCATGCAGGATCTTGACAAGGGCGTTCCGAATGAAGATTCCACAACTTTGAGGCCGTCGTCATGACACGAGGCGGCACAGATGAAATATACAAAGTCCGTACATCATATTTTCGCCTATAAACATATATAGGTGTTGGCGCCACCTCACGTTTGGGCCAGGTCCATGTAATTTTGAAATACCAGACCATAGGCTATTTTTAGAGTTTGTATTGATAGGGAAAACAACTTAAGATGGAATTTAGTCCCACCTTGTCAAGATTGGACAAAATTCTCCTCTATTTCCTATAAATACAACCCGTAGGGCATCATTTAGATTTGAGGTTTGTTTAGATAAAAGTTTGCCATATATGCATACTTTGTGTGTTCAATGACCAGGTCAATCACCAGATTGCAAATCTTAGTTCTTACTTGTACATTGTTTGCATGTACGAATTAGACCTTCGTGTCCAGATTGATCGTGTTTTGTGTGGTCAATAGCCTCTAGAATTTAGTTTAGCGATCGCTAAGGCATGACGTCCTCGCATGTTCGTAGTTGGATCGTCAAAGTTTACTCCACCCAAGATGATAGTTACCTCTCATTGAAAGATCGGGACACCATTACCTCTATCATACACATCCCTTCTATTTTCTTATACAAGGCCACTAACTCAAATTACAAGTAGCAAGCTAAAAATTAATGTCTGCTTTGCAAGCCAACTTGTATTCTGTTTACCGGGTTAATTAATAGGGCACATGCAAATTGGAGGAAATTGAGTGGGTGTGAGGGAGAAAGTAGTTGTGAGTATGATTATAATCCACTGGATGCATGCGAGAGTTAAACCATGGGTTGCTAATATGAGGGAACATCTTTAATTTTTGCCTCTCTTACTGTTTTTGACCTTGTATAGTTGCAATATATATATATCTTATTTGTATACAAAAATAGGGGAGTACTATTAATTCTTTTTTGATAAAGATACTATTCACTCCAATCCTTATTAATTGTCAATGATTTAATATGAAATTGTACTCCCTCTGTTTCTTTTTACTCCGCATATACGATTTGGTCAAAGTCAAACTACACAAAGTTTGACCAAATTTATATAAAAAAATATGAATATCTACAATACTAAAACTATATAGTATGAAAATACGTTTCATGGTGCATTTGATAATATTGATTTCATATTATGAATGTTTATATTTTTTAATATAAAATTAGTCAAACTCTACAAAGCTTGACTTTGACCAAACCTTATATGCGAACTAAAAAGAAACGGAGGGAGTACTAAATCAGCGATAATTAATATGGATGGGACGGAGTACTATTTAATCCATCGTACTATACTTTTTGAACAATGAAATATTTCAGCACTGCAAACACAAATCTTGTAATTAAATTGTAAAGGTCATTCTCCCACAGAATAGAACGAGGTCATCCATGACATTAAAAATCTTAAAGCTAGAAGCAAAAAAAAAATGTTTTCTAGAATATATGTCTAATTCAGCTAATCCAGCTCTAGATTTAGAGGTGTTTGTAAAGGGAAAACTTTGTTTTTGCCACTCTAGTTTTTGCCTACTTTGCTTATACCACTCTAGATTTTGACATAGTATCACTTTTGCCACTCTTAGTTTTGACAATACATCACAAAGGCCATTCAGTGGCAAAAGCAATAACTTTTCATTTCACTTTTGCCACTCTAGATTTTGACAATGTATCGCAATTGCCACTCTAAATTTATTGTTTTTGCCACGGAATGGCAATTGTGATGTATTGTCAAAAACTAAGAGTGGCAAAAGTGAAATGTCAAATTCTAGAGTGATATAAGCAAAGTGGTCAAAAGTTAGAGTGGCAAAAACAAAGTTTTCCTGTTTGTAAAATAATCAAATTAGTCGATCGACATCCACATCCCGACATGGCCAAATATAACATAGAAAACACTGATTGGTGTCCTTTAGTGGAATAACATATCCTTCTTCAGCCTTCCTCTCAAAATATTTGTCCTTGGACTCAGAAAACTATTTTTCGGTGTATGTGTATGCTGAGAAAATCTACTCCATAATTATTGTATTATTAATTAGCTGGTGCCTATGGTGGGTCCAGGACCGATATGTAGTGAAACATAAGGAGTTAATTTGTCTGTGGTCTTACATTCAGGTTTATCGCTCCCTCATTAGCAATAAATAAATAAATCCCCTAAGTTTGTCATCAGTCAATTTTTTGACCAAACTTATAGAGATGATATCAACATTTTTATAACAAAAGAATCATATCAGTTGATTCACTATGAAACATATATTGATGTATTTATCCGGTATAGTAAATTTTAACATTTCTCTATAATATTGGCCAAAACTTAGGAAATATTTGGGAAGGAGGGAGCACAAATAATTGTGCATGCACGATAATAGGTTCAACCAGGGTATTGGAAATGTAAGCTAGAATGATACTCCGTCTAAGTGTATAAATCATCTTATGTTGTGCACCATGACACCACATGACACATGTGATAAGCAATCCAAACAAGC